TATTATTCTAATGGGAGATTTCAACACCTGTCTTATCAAAAATGATTCTCGCTCCCAAAAACTTCTGAATTTGGTATCTTCCTTCAATCTTCTCACTCTCCCCCCTTCAGGCAACTCACCACTTCCCTAACTGTAACCCTTCTTTGCTTGATATTATGATCGTTTCTTCTACTGATAGTGTCATGTCTCATGGACAAATAACTGCCTCTTTTTCATATCATGATTTAATCTACCTCTCTTATCGTCTCTGTCCACCTAAAAAGAAATCCCAATCCTTGTTCCTTCGTAATTACAAGGCAATAGATCTGGAGTCATTGCAGCATGATATAAGTAATGTTGATTGGACACCTATTGTTGACAATACTAATATTAATGAGAAGGTTAGTAACTTTAATGATATAATTTTGAAGGTATACAATAACCATGCCCCGCTCAAACGCGTAAAAATAAAGCGTAATCCTGCACCTTGGATTACACAAGATATAAGAGAACTTATGGGCCAGAGGGACAAAGCTAAGCAAAGGTTTAAACGTCTCCCATCTGAAAATAACTTAAATCGTTTTAAATTTTTACGCAACCGCTGCAGTCGCTTGTGTCGGTATGCTAAAAGACGCTACTTTTACAACTCTCTACACAATAAAAATTCTACTGAGATGTGGAAGTTCCCTTCGTTCTGTTGGTGTGGGCAGGTCTCCGATCCTAGAATACAATGACGTTAAAGTAAAGGATCTAAACAATCACTTTGCTACTCCTCCTATGACTTTAGATCCTTACATCAAATCCAACACACTACTCGCTTTGGCGGGTATACCGAAACCGCACGTTTGCCCTTTTCATCTTTCCCTTGTAACGGAGGAAGATGTCAAAAAATCCATCCTAGCCATCTCTTCAAATGCTGTTGGTATTGATGGTCTATGTGCGAAGATGATTTTGCTAGTTCTACCTTTACTTCTACCAATTCTTACTCATATATTTAATTTTTCTGTATCGTCATCATCTTTTCCTTCAGTTTGGAAACAAGCATATATAATTCCTCTGCCTAAGGTTTCTAATCCTTCTTCTTTGTCCCACTTTCGTCCCATATCTATTTTACTCTTTCTTTTTAAAGTTTTGGAACACATCATCCATAGTCAACTCTCTCTCTTCTTATCGTCTAACTCCTTGCTCTCCACTTATCAGTCGGGCTTTCGTCGTGGACACAGCACTGTCACTGCTTTACTTAAAGTAACCGATGATATCCGTTGGGCCATGGACAATAAATCTCTTACACTTTTAATTTTGCTTGACTTTAGTAGTGCTTTTACCTCAGTAGACTTTGATATTCTTCTCCGGATCCTGGAATCTATAAACATTTCCCCATCTGCCATCGCATGGTTTGATTCATATCTTCGTGGTCGATCACATTGTGTCCGTGTTAATGACACTCTATCCGATTGGTCGGGTATCACTACGGGTGTACCTCAGGGTGGCGTTCTTTCCCCCCCTTTTATTTTCCATATTTATTAACTCTATTACGAGTGTTATTACATCTAATTACCATCTCTACGCGGATGACTTACAGCTTTATCGTCATTTTCTGGTGGGTGATACAAATAATGCAATTGCAGCTATGAATGCGGATCTAGGCCGCATCTGTGAATGGTCTGCATCCTTCGGACTATTAGTTAATCCCACGAAATCTCAGGCCATCATAATAGGCAGTAGGCATTTGCGTAATAGATTAGAATTTACATCACTACCTTTTGTTTGTTTTAATGGCGTTCCTATACCCTTTGCCAATACTGTCAAAAACTTAGGCGTCATATTTGATCACCATTTAACATGGACCACGCATATCGCTGAAGTTAGTCGCAAGGTCTACTTTACTTTGCATTCGCTTAAATGTCTACAAAATTTCTTACCCCTTAAAGCTAAAATATCACTCGTGCTTACTCTTATCCTACCTCTCCTTGATTATGCGGATGCTTGTTATTTGGATGCTACAGAGGAGCTTCTTAATAAACTTGAGCGCTTGCAAAATCAGTGTATCCGTTTCATATTTGGGCTCAAGAAATTTGACCGTATATCTCAGTTTCGTAAGCAACTCAAGTGGCTTCCTATTCGACTTCGAAGGAACACTCGATTGTTATGTGTCCTCTATAACATTTTGCACAACCCTTCCTCTCCCACATACCTCAGAAGCCGATTTTCCTTCACCCATCCTCCGGACAAACCATGCAGAGCCCTTGTTAAAAATCTTCTTGACTTTCCCGTCTTTAATTCCGGTTATTACTCCCACTCCTTTTCAGTTCACGCGGTAAGATTATGGAACTCACTACCGTCAAATATAAGAAATTCCGAAACTTTGTTGATATTCAAGAAACGTCTTAGAGATAACTACTTTGCATCCTGTTAATTTATATATATATATATATATATATATATATATATATATATATATATCATATGTAACTATCGTATCAATTATTATTATTATTTATTGATTTATTTTATTTTTATTTATTGTTTTATTTTATATAATTTCCGTAACATTGTGTATATTATTTATTTTTAGTAGTACTAATGTATGCACTAAGTTTGCAATTTAAATATAATTTCCTTTATGGGTCTACTGGAAGATATTTCAGCGAATTTGGAATAAGTAGAACCTTTGTACGTAATTACTATAAGACTGCTTCTGTACCTTAATGTGTGTACATAAAATAAATTAAAAAAAAAAAAGAAAAAAAAAGTCGTTAACGTTTGGCTTCCGCAATTGGAATTGGTCCTTCGAGCCGGATCGTTGGGACAGGCCTTTTGTGTTCAAAGTGTCCACCGCTGGCCCGCTTCCGCTTCTCCGTGTACTTGTAGTGGATTGCTACAGAGAGGCACACGAGTCCTCCGCACTAGCGGCGACAGATTCACCCAGCATAGGCGGTGAGCTGAACCAGCTTTGGAGGATTACTTCAAGGAGTGGCCACCAGAGGGTGCCATTCTCAGATCAACACCAGAGGACGCAGCAAGGTGACGCAGACAGAGCAAGGTGACGCAGACGCTGCCATCACGCGACGTCACGCGCAGTACCGCTGGCAGCCACAGGAGGCGCCACTTGCAGGTTCAAAGGTGTTTGGGTGAAGTGCAGTTTCATGAGTAAATTTTGTTTAATTACATCGTCCACAAATCGAGTGAATTTGAACTCTATTCGAACGTCAATTTAAACTTTGAAAAAGTAAAGAACTATCTTGAACTTGTAAAATTTTGAGGACAATTTTGGACTTAGTTTATTTTAGTATTTTTTTCAATTTGTAGAAAACGTGGGAACGGGGAACCTATGCCCGATTTCTACCAGATTTTGTGTGTTTCCAAACACTTGTAAAATTTTCAAAGGTGTTTTGATACTTGTATTATTTCTAGAATTTTTATTTTGCCAACATAGATTTGAAACACTGTTTTAAATAAAAACAAGTTTTATACATAGATTTATCAACTTTACATTGTTATTTACAAGGTTAAATCAATTTAGACACATTTTATTTATTTACAAAATCAAATAAATAATAAAATGGAAGGATTAATTAATGTTTTAAGAGATCAACAAAATTTTATAACAAAGGGGTTAACTAATTTTAAAAAATGTGGTAAAGATAGGTTAAGCATAGAGTATGTAGAAACCAGAACCAAATTGGCATTGTTTAAAGAAAATAATACTAAGTTATACGAACGTTTCAAAGCAGAAGATATATCACAAAGGGTTGTTGATATTTATGATGCTACAGAGTACACTTATATTGTTTACAAGAGCTTAATGAAAACTATCCTTAACACAATTCGGTCAGCTAAAGATTCTTTAAATAAAGCCAATACTTCTAGCACTATTAATAAATCAAGTAGTTCTTTCGTAAAGTTGCCCAAAATATCCATTTCAATATTCTCAGGAAAATATGATGAATGGACAACATTCCACGATCTCTTTACCTCATTAGTACGAGTACATAATAACGAATCTTTAGATAATGTACAAATGCTTCATTACCTAAAGAGCCACCTTACCGGTGAAGCAGAACAATTGATTCGTCACACACCTGTAACTGACGCCAATTATATATATATATATATATATATATATATATATATATATATATATATATATATATATATATAACGCTTCTGTAATTGATTCCAGCACTGAATGCGCTGGAATCAATTACAGAAGCGTTATAACAATAAGAAATATTTAACAAAATGTATTCTTAAACGGTTGTTTAATCAAAAACGTATGCAGGTGGAATCATCTACAGCTCTGAAGGAGCTGCTTGATACCACTTGTCTGACTGTCTTAATGTTTTCAACAATTTGGGTATTAACGTGAGCACATGGGATGTTATTATAATTCACATAGTTTCATTTAAATTAGATAACGAAACACGTAAGCAATGGGAGCTTAGTGTTGGCAACAATGACTCCAGCAATGACTTACCAACTTTCAACCAATTTAAGTCTTTTATAGAAAATCGGTTTCGTGCGTTAGAATGTTTAGATCCTAAAAGGGTACCAGTTCACCAGGGCCACAATATTAATAAACCCTCTATTGCTCACTCTCCGAAGGCAATGTTGGCTACGAGTTCATCAATGCGATGTGAGTTTTGCTCAGAAGGACACAAATTATGTTTCTGTAAGAAGTTCTCAAAACAGACGATTGAAGCACGTCGTTATTTTGTGGCAAAACATAAAATTTGTTTCAACTGTTTAGGCGGCAATCACGTGGTTTCGGAATGTAAAAAGCCCACTACATGTAAGGTTTGTCAAAGGCGCCATCATTCACTACTACATATTATTAACTAGGAGTCGGACAAAAGGGATCAACCTTCGACGGCAACTGTCGACATTGTTAGTTCACCTAATGCAGGTAGGTAATAGTCCCAAGCCCCGTCAGGTTTTATAAGAGCCGAGTTAATAAAAGCCGAGTCACGCTCTGGTGACTTTCAGATGATCCGAGCCTTGCTCGATCAGGGTTCGCAGGCATGTTTTATTACAGAGGCCGTAGTTCAGCTGCTCAACCTGAAAAAATTCCGATCCAAGGAACTATCTCAGACTTTGGTGGCAATAGTTCAACCAAAGCAACGTACATGGTACATTTAAATATAAAATTGCGAGTAGATCCTGTATTCAGTCTTATGATTAACGTTTACGTACTTACCAAAATCACGTCATACTTACCTTAACACAAAGTACACACTACTTTAGATTCGTTAAGCGTTAATACGCTACAGCTTGCAGATCTAGAGTTCAACACGCCCAATAAGATAGACGTGTTGTTAGGCGCTGATGCTTACAGTTGCATTGTTAAGAGCCCGTCCGGTACGCTGGTTGCTCAAAGCACTACCTTAGGGTGGGTCCTGTCTGGCGCTGTCAGTAGGGAAAGTTCAACAAAAATTAATGTCTTGCATGCACAACTTAGTGATGACGAATTATTAAGACGATTTTGGGAAATTGAAGAGCAAAATAGTTCAAAGAAAATATTGACACCTGAGGAGAAGAAGTGCGAAGAGCTGTATAATAAAGTAAGAGACATCAGTGGAAGATACGTAGTAAGATTACCTTTCCGCGAAGAAAATCCATTTTGTAAAGGTTGTGGCTCTCGAGCTATCGCTGAGAAGAGATTTAAATCTTTAGAAAAAAGGTTAGGAAGAGATGTAGATTTAAAGGAAAGATACAAGCAGGTAATAGAAGAGTATTTACAACTACGACACATGAGGAAGATAGATAAAAGGGACAAGATTAGGGATGCAGCGGTATACTTACCTCACCATGCTGTAATCCGGGAGGATAAAACTTTCTCGAAGGTACGTGTCGTGTTCAACGCCTCCGAGAAGGACAACAATGGAGTCTCACTCAATTACACGTTGATGGTGGGACCTACATTGCAGTCTGATTTGAGACACACAGTTTTAAGATGGAGATTTCACCCTATTGCACTGGTATCAGACATTGTAAAAATGTGCCGCCAGGTCAGGATTTCGGATGAAGATGCAATTTTTCAGCGCGTTTTATGGCGAGACAGTTCTGAAACCGAAATCGAGGACTAGTGACCGTTACCTTTGGTACGGCATCAGCGCCATACCAAGCAGTCGGAACACTTCATCAAGTAGCCTACGATGAAGGCCACAATTATACAGTTGCTGCAGATAAGGTTCTCAACTGCTTCTACATGGACGACTTGATGACCGGTTGTAACGACGTAGAAGAAGGCCTGGAAATACACCGTCAAATGACAGACTTATTAGGAAAGGGTGGATTTGCGCTTCAAAAATGGAACAGTAATAATCAAGAAATAGTAAACAAGATACAGGAAATGGAAAGTAATAGATTGAAAGGACAAATAGATCAAAACAGGACAAAGGATAATAAGGACAACACAAATAATCACAATATCATACAGGACATAAAATCAATAGAACAATATAAACCAAATAAACCAGGACATAAACAAAATGAAGTAGAAATAAAACTTGACGGTACTATTAAAATTTTAGGACTTACCTGGAACCGCAACGCAGACTGCTTCCAGTACACGGTGAACCTCCCGATGCCCACGACCGCACCTGTAACTAAACGAGCTATTATTTCTGTAATAGCACGACTTTTCGATCCATTAGGTTGGTTAGCCCCTAGTGTGATTATAGCGAAGGTCTTCATCCAGAAGTTGTGGCTTGCAGGTGTTGATTGGGATCAGGAGCTAACCGATGACTTAATAAATGAATGGAGACCGTATCGTGAATATTTGTTATTACTCACCACGGTTCGGAATCCTCGTTGGCTTGGTACAAGGTCGAACGACTATCTGGAACTTCACGGTTTTAGTGACGCCTCCAAAACAGCTTACGCAGCTGCTGTTTACTTGCGAGTTGTCGGTTCAGATGGTAACATTAATAATAAAAATATAATAATAATAATAAACTTTATTTGACATAAAATATTACAATAAATATTTCAGTGAATCCATAGGCTCCTAAACTAGTGTAAAACTGTGTTTCAGGAGCCAGTGGCTTCTCCCATAACATTGCATTATTAATTTATGCCATAAGATAAGGTACATTATAAATTATTCAGCAGAACTACTTAAATCAAGAAAACAAAAATTAGTAAAGAACGGGCTACTCACTAGCGCATATCTGTTATGTATGTAGTTGCATTAATGTGTGCGTGCGTGTGTGTTTTACGGATTTTATCGCGTTTATTTCACTACTTTTACTTATTTTTAATTCCCCACGTTTCGGGTGCTTTACAGCAACCATGGTCACGGGGAGGACTGACATGTTTGACGTCCCAATGTCATAGTTAGTCCGGCTACCTTCAGTTTTTGAATATTAATTTTTTTGGTCCGATTTACGCAATACGAGCTTATAGTATCATGAAGTCTTGTAGTGGTATCATGACCACCACTGCAAGACTTCATGATACTATAAGCTCGTTTTGCGTAAATCGGCCTAAACCTAAGCATACCATTGCAAGATTTCATGATACTATAAGCTCGTTTTGCGTAAATCGGACCAAAAATTAATATTCAAAAACTAAAGGTAGCCGGACTAACTATGACATTGGGACGTCAAACATCTCAGTCCCCCCCGTGACCATGGTTGCTGTAAAGCACCCGAAACGTCGGGAATTAAAAATAAGTAAAAGTAGTGAAATAAACGCGATAAAATCCGTAAATTTAGTTTTATTCAAATATACTTCTTAATAACATTATTATTGCACTTTTTTACATTATACTCCTTATTCAGTCTGTTATATAGGTGTGGAACAATAAAATCAAATTGCTTCTGGGCGAATCTTGTTTTTACTTTGGGAATAGGACAACGGTCAAGCCTCGAAGATGATTTAGGCAAGTAAGGAACATTTATTTGTAATAATGGCGTAGACTTTCGTAAATAAATAATTTTCTAATACTAAGAAATTTCTAATACTAAAGAATTGGCTTTGTCATAGACAGCTGTTGTAGGATGTCTGAAGGGTAAGGAGAATAACACTTTCAGTACTGCACGTTGTGCACGTTCTGCAGTGATCAAGTAGGATTTTGCTGCAGTGCCCCAAGCACAGATACAATACCTAATAATGCATTCACCAAGGGCTTTATAGGTTTGTAATGCTAATTTGTAGTCAACAACTGTTCTTAGAGCTTTAAAAACATAGATGAGTTTTCTCAATCTTGTAGACAATGACATTATATGCACTTTCCAATTTATTTTATCATCAATTTCAATCCCAAGGTACTTTATTGAATCTACACGCAACAAAAAGGAACAGTTACACTGGTCAGGTCGACTACTACGATTGCATGGATATGTATGAATTTTAATTCTAACGTCGGCATCAGGTCCTCCTGATGTTGTCTTGCTATAGCACATGAACTTCGTTTTGTTGATATTAAGGGATAAAAGGTTATTTTCTAGCCATTGCGTCACTATAGAGAGACAATCTTCCGCCAGGTCTGTCACTTCTTGCCAATTTTTATCATGGACGAGTAAGACAGTATCATCTGCAAACATGAGCAAGTCAAGATTAGGAAAATTAATTTTGCACAGATCATTTATATATAAGAGGAAGAGAGGAGGCCCTAGTACACTACCCTGTGGAACGCCGTAGGTGCATCCTGCACTATCACTCTCATGACCTTCTACCCGTACACGTTGTGATCTTCCGACTAGATAATCTGCGAACCAGTCACGAGCTATCCCCCTGATCCCCATATTCTCCAACTTGGCCAAAAGGATTGGAATCGAAACGGTATCGAAAGCCTTTTGGAGGTCTAAAAAGACACCCATGCACTTGTATCCACCATCGAGGTATGTAGAGATTTTTCTAGTTAGCGTTAGAACTGCGTCTTCGGTTGATTTACCTTCTCTGAATCCAAATTGATTTTCACTCAGTAGATTATTAAACTCAAGATATCGCATGAGCCTCTTTTTAACCAACTTTTCCAACACCTTAGACAGAGTTGAAAGAATAGAGATAGGTCTATAATTTGTAGGACTATGGGGGTCACCTGCTTTATAAATAGGACACACAATAGCTTTTTTGAAAGCTGCTGGAAAAATGCCTGTTTCAAGACTCAAATTACATATATGTGTTATAAGGTTCAGCGAGGAATATTATAAATGTCTTTAGTAATTTTGCTGTGATATTATCCCAGCCAGGAGCACTGTGCGATTTGAGTCCGAGGACAATGTACCTGACCTCCACGGGATCAGTTGGTGTAAGGGACATAGAGCCAACTGGTGGGTTAGTTTTATTTATCAATAACGCAAGTTCACGATCAGAGGTATTCATCTTCTGTAGGGTATCTTTTGTAAGTATTTCACCGACAGAGGTGAAAAATAAATTTTCTTCATTCAGCGACTGTGTAGGATGGTTGCTTATATTTAGTAAAGTATTAGAAGGCCTCTTTGCGACATTTAAATTACACACTTCTTTTATTATCTTCCACGTTCCTTTTTTATTTCCTTGATTTTTCATTAATTTATTTCTATAATATTCTTTTTTTCAGATTTTTAATAATTTTGTTACACATGTTTCTATATTTTATATACTTAACCTTTAGTTCTTCATTATCTGGTAACTTTTTAGTTTTCATATGTAGATTATCTCTTTTTCTTATAGATCTTACCACTCCTCTTGTTATCCATGGTTTGAGAGGTTGGTGCTTTTTAGTAATAGTTTTGATTTGCGAGTTCTGTTTAACCAATGAATAAAGTTTATTCGTGAAAATCTCAGTGGCTGAATTTATGTTACTAATATGTAGCACATCATGCCAGTTTTCTCCCAGCAGTATTTCTTTGATCTTTTCATAATTAACGGTTATTTTTTTATATTTTAGTATATCTTTACTAACACCAGCATTGTTTATATAAAGCATTATAGGTGAATGATCAGTTATTTGCTGTTCAAAAACAATAGTTTTCCAAGAGTTATAAATTTTGACCATAAAATGATCAATGCAAGTATTGACTCTAGTAGGACGGTCAATACCTTGTTTTAAACCGTGCATAGCCATAATATTTAAATAATCTTGTGAGGACTGCATGTGAGTGCTACATTAATCTATCGTTGCTGGTTGCTAAAACTAGAGTCGCACCATTAAAACAAATAAGTATTCCGCGATTGGAACTCTGTGGAGTGGTCTTGCTGTCACAACTGCTATCGCAAACAGCTGAGGTCTTGAATATTTCTCAAGAAAGGGTCAAGGCGTGGACTGATTCCACTGTTGTGTTGGCTTGGATAAACAGCCACCCAAGCAGATGGAAGACATTTGTGGCCAATAGAACATCTGAAATATTAACTTCAATGAAAGCGTCGCAATGGTTTCACGTCTCCACAAAGGGTAATCCAGCAGACTGTGCCTCGAGAGGGATACTTCCTAGTTCAATACTAGAAAACAATTTATGGTTTACTGAACCACCGTTTCTACAAAACGTAGTTTACAATAGGCCAAATCACAACAATTGTACTACAGATTTAGAAGAGTCAGCAAAGGTACATGTAGCGACAATTCCAAACGAATCGTTCTTTGATCGGTTTTCTCAGTTACGAAGATTAGTTAGGATTGTTGCATACTGTCGTAGATTTTAAAGGAGAACGAAATATACAGAAAGGGATATTTACAAAAGACAGAATTAGACGCTGCACCCGAAAGTTGTATAAGGAAAACACAGAGAGAACTATTTACAACAGAATATGAAGAATTAAAGAACAAAGGCTATATACAATTAAAATCAAGCCTATTAAGGTCACTCTGTCCTTACCTTGATGATAAGGACATTATGAGAGTTAGAGGGAGACTGGAGAAGTCAGAGCTCAGCGAACAGATGAAACATCCTATCGTCCTGCCTCACTCCAGTCACCTAACTAAGTTAATCATAGCTGACGCTCACCTTAAAACCCTCCACAGGGGTCCCCAGCTTATGATTAACTATTTGAGAACAGCCTACTGGATTATTGGGGTTAGAAATCTGGTCAAACATCATGTCATCAAATGTGACATGACAACAAAAGGGCGTGGCCATCGGTCATACAAGGGCTATATATGCCTCTTTGTATGCATGGTCACTCGAGCGCTGCACTTAGAAGCAGTGAGTGACATGAGCACTCAAGCCTTTTTAGTGGCGTTCAGACGCTTTGTTTCAAGGCGAGGTCAATGTGCCAAACTGTGGAGTGACAATGGCACTACATTCGTAGGTGCATCCAGGGAGTTACAGCAGTTGACAGCTATTCTGTCATCAATAGCCGAACACCTCGAAACGAATGGTACAGAGTGGCACTTCATTCCTCCTCACAGTCCCAACTTTGGCGGACTTTGGAGGCAGGAGTAAAATCTACAAAATTCCATTTGAAACGAGTGATCGGTGAAGCGACTCTCACCTTTGAAGAACTGACGACACTCCTCAGTCAAATAGAGGCGATTTTAAAAAGTAATAATGGTAATTATACACTGCTGAATGAACAAACAAATGTTTCTAATTCACCTTTGTTAAACATCTTTAAGGCCAATCTTTAATAATAATTTTAAGATTAATAATAATAAATAATTATAATAATATCAATAAAACAATAATAATAATAGTATTTAAAATATTAATCATAACAATAATAATAATTAGTAGCAGATTTGTTATCGCACGGCGCGGTCACTCAAAACAATAATAATAATAGTATTTAAAAATAATCATAACAATAATAATAACTGTTGGCGGGTTTGTTATCGCACGACGTGGTCACTCGCTACTTTGGTAGGGAGCGATTGTGTCAGCGTGTATAAATAGCAACTGTTTCGGCTCGCCGCTCACTTAGCGGTCAGCCGCCGTAGAGTCTATATTACCTGAGGATGCCTCGTGTAGAGGCGAAACACGTGTCGTATTATCGTCGATGGTGTGTCTTGCCTGGAATAGTGGTGTTGAGAGTAGTGGTGCT